TTGCATACAGGCTTGTTATTAGGCTGCTGTGGAAAATAAAACGCCGTGGAGCAGAGATTGAAGTGCTCGTGACTGGGGTTTGAGGCTGCGAGTGGAAATTTCCAGCATCTTGGCACATCTCGCCCGGCCGAGCCGCCGGCCCCAGCACTTCCATCGCTGTCCTGCAGGCTGGCTGCCCTCCCGGGGCATCGTCCTGACCCCTTCACGCAGCTCCTGCCTTGGTCCCCAATGCTGGTTGTCCAGTATTGCCCTCCAAGCGTTAGTGCCGATTATTTCTGCCAGAAACATTTTCATTTTTTCCCCGGGTGCCCGTTGCCTCCCCCTGGCCTCGCTTCCCTGCAGGACATTCCTCTAAATGCAGCAGCAGAGGAGGAAATGCATGAGTTGCATCCACGGGTAAGGCAGCAGGAACAGCCCAGCTTGGCCTGCCCAAGTCACAGGGATCTTGGGACCTTTCCTGCCCGTTCAGTGTTGTGTTCCTCAATTCCTTTTTTTCTTTGGGAGCAGTGAAGGCTTCAAGCGACTTCTCCATTGACACCGGCTCCAGGTACCGTCTCTCCCGAACACTCCTGGCCTGCACAGCAGTGTTACCCTGTAGGCAAACCACCCACCTCAGGTGTTCCCCTGCCTCTCCACTTCTCCATCAGCAGCTGCAACTTTTGATGTCCTCGGGATAACGTTGTTGCTTTTTTCAATAGTGTTTCCTCCTTTTCCTAATCCTTAGCCAGCCTTGGCAACTSTGTTGCTCTTTAGTGCTTTAAAGCTGGTTAAATCACCCTCCATCTCCTCAATCCTAGCAAAGAAGAGGGCTCCGTTACTCTCCAGAAGCCCAGCCAGCGCTGCAGTAGGATCCTTGCTGTTCCCGAGCTGTTTTCCAGGTGCAAAACGAGCCGGCTGAGCAGTGTTCTGGAAAATTGTATCTTTGGAGCTTGTTTGCACATAAAGGGAAATCATTGTGTTCTGCGGCCTAGGGTGGGAGGCTGAAGCAATGTTGACAAAAGGAAACATCTGCTTTATCAGGGAGATAACATCCTCTGGGCTCACTGTGTATCTGAATGGCTCCCGCTTGCTGCTCGCAATGGTCCTCCTGGTATTTTTAAGTGCTGGATTCGTGACAACTTTGTGCTGTTGCACCCAAACGCAGGGACCAAAGAGGAGAGGACCCCTTTGGGTTCCGCCACTGAAGGCAAGAAGTTCAGCAGCGCTTTGGGGCCGCAGCACGGAGCCCGGCAGGACGGTGCCCTTGTCACCGGTGTGCGGTGGCCCTCCAGCTCCCGCGTCCTTATTCCCGAGGTGCCTCTTGAGGTTGGATATCGCAAACGCCAGCAACCCCCAGTGCCTCTTGTTGTGCAGCAGAGGTTGCAGCATKGCTCTGGCTCAGGAGCGGCCTGGCAAAGTTTCTGCCAAACTCCCACCGAGCTGCTCGAAGCTGATGCAGGCTGCCGGGGGCGGTTGCTGTAGTCACAAGCTGTGTAGTTGCACACAAGCTGTGAGTTACAAGCTCAAGAGGCTGCAGTGGAGGAATGTGTCAGGTTGTCAACTTTCCTCTTCCTTGCTTGTCCTTTAATGCCTATTCCAGGTGCAGCTCTTCTGAGTTTTGGTTAAGAATTTGTTCCAGCAATGTCCTGCTTTCTCTTTAAGAACTTTCAAACGCCGCAGGGCKTTTTCCCATTAATTGGGAACCAAAAATCCTCATGTGAAGTACGGATTAATCCAATTTTGAGCTCGTTTTAGCAAAAGCAGTTAAGATTGCTTGTAGCTGCGAAACAATGAACAGCTTCAGTGCTGTTCCTGGAGGATTTGGGCCATCTTCGACCTCCTATTTATTTCTCCCCTTTTCCCAAGCAGAGCAAATCAAGAAGCGATAGTTTTAAAAGTGACCGCTTGCTGCAGAGACCTGGTGAGTTGGGGTTTCCGGCTCTTGCTGCGGGAAACTCCTGCAGCGGAGGAGCTGGTGCAGCAGAGGAGCAAGAAGCAGCTTTGGAGCAGCCGAGCTGCCCCTCATTCCGCCGCCGAGCGAACGGAGCCTCTCTGCTGCTTGCTTGGGAGAAGCCAGATTTCAGCAGCAGTTTTCCCACCGAGTTACAGCATCCCTGATTAGGGCAGCCCGGGTTTCTCGAGACGAAAGGTGATCTGTGCGCGACTAATGCAAGCCAAAARGAAAAGCTTGCCGTGTTTTGCCAGGGAAAAAGGTCCTAATAATGCCCTGACTTCCATATTTTTGAATCCTGCAAAAGAGAGTCTTATTTTCTGATTATTTTTCTTTATTTTTTGTTGTTTGAACTTCTGAAAGTTGTTACTTCCATGTCCTTKGGTGCTGTCCCTGCCGAGTCCCTGACAATTTCAGGTGTAACACTACCCAGTTGCGCTCCTGTCCGTTTCTCATGCTGAGCATCAGCTTTCYGTAGGCTGGAAAAGCACTTCAGTGGCATTTAAATTCCCTTATTTTTCCCTTACCAGAGATACTTGACTGAAGGTTTAAGCCATGCTCTGAGTGTATATTAAGAATAACTGAAGCTGGGCCCTGGCAGAGAAGAAAGGGTGTGAATTAAGCGCTGTTTCCCAAGTTAATTTGGCCCCAAAATGGGGCTCGTTATACAAATCCTTTACAGTTATTCAAGTGACCTGGGGAAAAAAGCAATAGTGGCTCACCCAGCGATTGCAGCTGCAAATATTTAGAGAAACTTCAGGTGCCAAAGAGCGGAGGGGGRGTCTGGAGAGGTCAGAGCTGCACCTGGAAAGGAAGACTAAAATGCAAATGGTTTTGTACCTAGTTTGGGGCCTAGTGGGGGAGATGAGGAGCAAAACAGGCACATGACAAGAGCGGAGCCTGCGGAAGCTTTTTGCTGCATGTGAACACGTTGCTTTGCTCTCAGGGGGATGGACCAGAGCAGGGTTAATGCTTTTTTTTGAGCATTTTGGGCCAGACGTTGTCTGCTGTTGGCCAAGTCCCTGCTAAGCAGCTGCCAGCCTGGCAGGAGCTGCAGGGCGAGCGGTTTTAAATGGCTCTTTAAAGAGCTGCCCTGTGTCCCTGGCACAGGCCGAGGTGGGGACGAGACCGGGAGCGTCGGATCCAGCTTCCTTTAGGAGCAGCCTCCGCAGGGAGCGTCACGCAGGCTGGATGTGACTCTCGGTAGCTTCTCTCAGATCTGGGCAGAGTTTGGAGGATCCTGAGGTTTGGAGGTAAAATGCCCSCTTCTTCCTTGTTGGTGCTTCTCAAATGGCTTTAAAGGTGGCCTCTGGCTTATGGGCCTGGTCTAAATTCTGGCTCCTTTAATGTCATCCTTTTTGATGGCTTGAGCTTCTGTCATCCAAACATTGGTCCTACTAGAAGATATCTTAGCACCATAAATTAGTAAGAACAGGAAACTTTTTCTGATAAATATTTATATTTTTAATGAAGCAGTCTTGCTTTCATTCCTTGTTTGTGGCGCTGTTTCGAGGAGTCGGCTCTCTCCTCGGATTAAGGATGCAGGAATGTGCCCGGGATGCCGTGTTGTCATCCCGGGGTGTTGCAAGAGGCTTGAGAAACTCTTTTTGGGCAGGTTGTGCTTCCCAGAGAAAGCTTTTCCATGGCTTTAATTTGTTAATTTGGGCAGGCTTGGTATGCAGCGGTGCAATTTGTGACAGCCTGAAGAAAGGGCTTGTGTTCCACAAAGCTGCTCTTTTTCCCCAACTGGCTTGATGAACTAAAGCGTATCCCAGGATTTACTAGCTGGGACGTGTGGTGCCTTCGTGCTGGAAGGAAATGGTATCCCGTGTCCCATGCTGAATCCAGACAAGCTTCATTCCTGTGCCTCGGGAAACCCTGTCCCGTAGCTCGGAGGGAGACTTTGGGGCCCAGGAGCCCTCAAGGCGACGCCTGGTCGGGCCCGTTCRGAGCGAGCTCTTGGTGTGCGGCTCYGTGACGTCGAGGAATCAACGTCCTACAGCTCCGGCAGGCCTCGGTGGAAGCCGCGGTGCTTCTGCCTCCCCGAGGAGCCACCCGCTGTTCCAGCCGTCCAGGTGCATCCCCCATGCACACGGCAGACCCGCTTTGCCGGAGCTCCCGGCGTCCACCTCCTCCAGCACAATCCGTGAGCGCCCCGAGGTTTGGAAGCAACATCCGTGATGGAGTTTCGCGTCCTGCAGATGGGTAGGGTCGCCCCATTGATCCGCAGGAGCTTGGCCGGGCTCCGGACCATCCGTGCGCTGCAGCCTCTGCTTGTCATCCCAAGCGCTTGTGTCCAAACCCAACCCCTATCCCCCCCGTATCGTCCCTTTCCCAGAAACACAACCCTTGTATTGTGGGAATTGCTAGAGAATAGACACTTAATCAATTAAAACGTGTGTTGAGTGGTGCGTGGGTGGTGCGTACGGGTGTGCCAAGGTCCCGGGGTTGTCGAGCTGTAGCACTTGCCTCTGGGAACCGGTGTTGGTGGGAGAAGGAAACCAGGTCTCAGATGTTGCCGGCGCTGATTCACAGGCTCTTTAGCTGCTGCTTCAAGTCTAGACAGGCACCTTTGTAGAATTTGGCTGCAGTTCTTTAAGAGCTGCCCTGCCGGGGGGAAGATATTGGGGCTGTTACCGCAATGCTGCAGTAAGAGCTGATGGGAACGCGCCTGGTTTTCCACAAAGAAACAGAAATGTTGGTTTGAATCATCACAGGCAGCCCTCTGCACCAAGGGAATCCACGCGGTGGGGTAAGGTGCTTTCCCTTTGCTGTCACCGTGCCAGACTTAACGTCCTGAACTGCTTTACCTTGAGTTGTGGAGCAATTTGCTTGTGCTCCTGAACTCGTCTCTGTTGGCTCTGCCTTCACCTGGTTATTTGAGAGTAATGTTTCTGTCTTGCATGGCTGGGTAATGGTAGCTAGGAGCAGATGGTGTTTATGTGCTTAGCTTTAGGGTCCCTTGGACTACAGCTGAATGGAGAGGTGATGTATAGGCTGGTAGACAAGTCCTTGTCCCAGTTTTCTTTTATATAAATGCTAACCTGACCTTTTTTTTTGTGCTTTTCAGGTGCTGGAGAGTCTGGTAAAAGCACCATCGTGAAGCAGATGAAGTAAGTGGAAGAAGCAGGTGTCCAAACTGCCCTTTCGTGCAACGGGAAGTAAGAAATGCTGTGGGGACCTTCTGGCTTCCCTTGGGAATGATGACCTGGTGGGTTTTTTATTTCCAGGATTATTCACGAGGATGGCTATTCAGAGGAAGAATGCAAACAGTATAAAGTGGTTGTCTACAGCAATACTATCCAGTCCATTATTGCGATCATAAGAGCCATGGGAAGACTAAAGATAGACTTTGGGGAAGTTGCCAGAGCTGTAAGTATTTCATTTATTTCCCTTGGACTCAGCTTGTGTTGTGAATTATGTTAATGTATCCTAGAAATTCAGTTAGTCATCCTCATAGTGGAAATACCTTTCTTGAAAGATATGGTAGAAGACATTTAATCTGTAATGTATTATTACTAGGACACCGTGGATTATTTTACTGAGATTAAAGATGAAACACTTAGCAGCTTTGCCTCCTCTGAAATAAAAATGATTTGAGTCCGAACTCTTTGAATTTTTAACAAAATATCCCTTTTTTTAAAAAAAAAAAAAATTGCTTGGCTCCTGACATCAGTGCCTGGAGTGTGTTAAAGCCCTGGGCTGCTTGGTCTTTAAGCTGGGCCAATTAGATCTTCAGTGCGAATTTACAGGAAAATACAGCCCTATGTTAAGATTTCAGGGAAGAATCTCTCATGATCTGGAGCTAAAATACTCAAATCCTCATCGGAGTCTACCTCATCTCACAGGGAAATGCTTTATTAAGAAATCACAGCCTCCTTTGCTGCTGATAGCTGTTGAGACAAAGCACAGTTTATCAAAGCTTTAAACCTGTGATCATCCCAATCTTGATTTGAAGCGGAGACTTTTCTTGCTCCCACAGAATACAACACTGTGCTGTAATAAAGCTTTTCTGTTTAGAACTGTCATTTACAGTATAATTCTTAGTCCCTAATAAAGCACTGGCTTTCTTGCAAGCTCTTAGTGTTCCAGAGGAATTGTCATATGCGTTTTGGGATTGCTAAAATGTGTATTTGTGGTGCCCATGCTGCCTGCTACGCTGGCGCAGCGCTGTGCAAGTGGTGTCTGCTGCCACCGGGACAGATGCTGAGGTTCAGCCCCGCTGTGTAAAGGTGCAAGTGGCTGTAGATCCTAAGTGGGCTCAATTTTCCCCTCGCTCGTGCAGGACGATGCCCGCCAGCTGTTCGTGCTGGCTGGGAGCGCGGAGGAGGGCGTGATGACCACCGAGCTGGCCGGCGTCATTAAGCGCTTGTGGAGAGACGGCGGCGTCCAAGCCTGCTTCAGCAGATCCAGAGAGTATCAGCTCAACGACTCGGCGTCATAGTAAGAAACCATTAACAAATGCAGGGAGAAACCATTAACGAATTCAGGGAGAAACCGTTAATAATCGCCRGAGTTCACAAAGCCAGAAAACAAGCAGGTTATTCTCATGACAAAGGTGTTCCCTCAAAACTGCTCTGGTTTTTCACCAGGATGTGGTTCTCGAGATCACTTTGTGCTTCCGCTGACTAAGTCCCTCTTGTTGTTTCTCTTCCCTGTATGCTGGAAAGAATACATTCCTTATTTTGTCACTAGGCAGATCTGGTTTTAGTGGAAGAACAGTTTGTCCGCTTGCGGTAAAACAAATCCTTACAGGAGATGATGAGCTGCGTAGCCTCTGTTTATCCCCACGGAAGGAAGGGATAGAACAGGAGGAAGTCGGACTCCTGAAATGGTGTCTAGTTAAAACACCAAATTTGCCAGGAGTTGCAGTTTTTACTGGGGGAATCTCCTAATAGTGGCAAATAAATATTCCCAGTTTTTGCCGTAACAAATACTGTAACAATTACAGAATTACTGGAAGTGCTTTATAAAGAAACCATAAATGTGTCATGGCTCACTTATCTGCATGTTCTCTCTGTACAAAGAGTGTTTTTAACCAGAAAATAAGCAAGAATTTCTCTAAAACTGTAGCCGTTTGGCAGACTGTCGTAAGTGGAGACCAAGGTAAGTGAGTGGACTGCAGGAGACTTCCTCAGCCCCTTGGGTGCCTTTGCATCGTGCAAGGAAGATACGTCAGATTTAAGAGGAAAAAAAGCTGTATGAGAAGGGGAAGAGAAATGACTGAGAGGACAGACCTAATGAAAAGGTGGTGGCAAAGCAAAGATTAAGGACTCCTCAAGCAAAGGATTGAAGGCAGGAAGAAGACATAGGGATGAGATAGATGGGAGCCTGAGGAGGAAGCTCTGTGATGGAGGAAGCTCCTTGGCGGGGGAGTCTAGGTTAGCTTTGAGAGAGTCAGGGCCAGGTCTGGAAGAAACGGGACAGAAAAGGATCGGTCTGTGGAGAAAGGGAGAAAACATGGTTTAGTGGGTGCCAGCTCCATCGTGCTGCCTTTCAGATAGTGAATTCCAGACRCTTTATTTCTCGTGTCCCACCTCTGGTACCGATGTGGGCAGACCCACGTGCTCCCAAGAGTCGTTCTGGCGGGCTCGTGTCAGGCCTACACGGCCCGGCTCTCCTCTTGGCCTTGGCCTGCCTCATTTTCAGCTGTTACTCGCTTCCCATGTCCGTGCTGAAAGGGTGCGGGTCTTACAGGCCKCCTCCCGGTGCTGACCGCGTGCATATCAGCTTTGTACATGACTTCCCTAGAGCAGTTCCACTTCCTGCCTCCTTTCGGCTCTGCTCCCAGGCAGTCCTGAGTCTTGGCATCCTGTAAGTTTATGCCCTGTTCCAAACTGCTGCTTTTCTGGGCTGAAATTTGGCTGGAAAATGAGCGTAGCAGCGAGTGCTGCTCCCTGCTCCCCGTTGGATCTTGGGGCCTCTTGCAAGACTCCCAGGAAGAGAGGAACCCGTGAGGAGCGATCGCTTATCAAAGGAGGCGCCGTGACCAGCGTCGYGCGGCACCGCGGTGGCCGAGAGCCAAGGCAGTGCCCGGGGCAGAGCTGGGCTGCATCGAGAGCCTCTTCCTGCCGCGTGGCACTGCCCGGAGTCAGCGGACACATGGGACACGTGGGACAGGGTGCTGATAATGCCCGAGCTCAGGGGACCCTCACTGAGGTGACGAGGCCTGCGGGCTCTGCGCGTTTCCTCCTGCTTTCCAAGGAACAGGGTGACTCGGTGTAGAAATGTGGCTGATTAAAAGTGTATGTGGATGAGCAGGTAGCAGCCCACTCTGCGTTGCCATCCTGCAACTGTGCCACCCGCTGCCCCATGCCCCATCTCAGACATCTGTAGTTTTGTTGCACTGCTGCAGCTTTGCCTTCTTTATTTAACTGCCCTTTGAGAAAGGGGCCCTCTGCTCCCATCTCTGTTCTTGGTTTATTAGCTGCAAAGCACACACACACAGACCAAAAAGATGGTGTTTGGCGATGTAGGTAAGCAGATAATGCTCTTAAATTATCTCACTTGCTGGTATTGCTGCTTATCCAGAGTTAATGCAGGCAGCAGCCTGCGGTGCTGTAGGTGATGGTCGCAGGCTCGCAGGCRATTAGCGCTTTCTGACAAACCGCTCTCTCTTCTGATGTATCTCGTCTGGCTCCACGTGGCAATTTTGGCCTGAGTTTCTTGACACTCGTGATGCTGGGTGAAAAAAACACACAGAAATCTAGGTTTTATTTCTTTCTTCTCTCTGCTCTCGAGTAAGAGATTACAGGGCTTTGTCCTCTTGCTCGGATCCTGGTGCTTTCTTGTGTTTTCCCACTTGAGTAGCATCACCTTGGGATCGTGGCTGGAAGTTTTAGGTTCTCTTGCACCAAATGAGCATTCAAATTAACAAAGRTGGCACTTGCCGGAGATGCTGCTCGGATCCCTCCCTTTCAGCTTTGCTTAATGTCATCTGTCAAAATCCAGCTAGGCATAAGGGGAAGGAGGACATAGGCTCCCAGGAAGGAAGCGGATCTCTTAATATTTAGATACGAGCTTCACCCGGGCTGCACCTCTCTGCTTCTCGCTGCAGGAAGACCTGGATCAACCTCCGTGGGAACAACACGTGGCTGCTCGCGGCTCCCGCCTGGCACGTGCTCTTTGGATAATCTTCCTGGAAAGCGTCATGTTTGTGGGGGGAAACAGAGACCACCTGAATGCCCAAACCTGCTGCTTGTCGTCCCTCCCTGGCTTATATCTGCTGTCCCTTTGGGCTGGAGTGCCAGCCCTCTCGCTGGGGACAGTCTTTCATAATAAGGGCTTTGTGCCAATCTTAGAGCTCTGGGCTGTTCCTTTCTGGCCTTGGAAGTACTTTTTTTTTCCCAGCCCTTAAAGGAAAGRGAGGGAATTGTTAGGAAAATGCCTAACTCATGAGAGCCCATGGAGGAGGGGAGCTGTGCTACCTGCCCCAGCTGAGCACGCTCTGCCCCGGGATTTCCTGCCGCTGCTGTCGGGATTTCTGAGCAGAGCGGGGAGAAATCAGTCCCCCCTTTCGAGTTATTTGGAAGCCGATGGGTTTTCTGAGCAGCCTGCAACCACAAATCCTTGCACATGGAGGAACTGAAGCAGTGCCAGCAGTGCTCAGGATGTCCTGGAAAAGCTTGGAGGGTCACTAAGGCAAACATGAGTTAGGCTTTTCAGTCAGCAGTTTTTATTCTGTGCCCATACTGTAATTTCCAGGGTGCAAAACAATTTTGCAAGCCTGTCTTTGCACAGTGGCATGTGAAAAGCATCGAGTAGCTCTTAGTACCACGAAAACCCCTGTGCACCAACTGCTTAAATCTTTTCATGGAATCTTGTATTTATTTATCCTTCATCTTCCTGGAATTAACTTGGCAGAGGGCGTTTTTCTTGCTAAGGGACCTTGCAGTGCCGCTCGGCTTTGCCTGATGCAGCTTGTTCCGCTGCTCGTTGTGCAAGCGTTTGGGAGGCGCTTAAAAACCCGCCTCATGGAGCCTGCCCAAGTCTGGGCGCTCCTCGGTGGCTGCTCAGAAAGACTTGAGCAGTTTTATACAGCGTCACAGTCCAAACTCCTGATGCTGCAAGTTGGCAGCTCCAGAGAGATCATTTCCAGCTCACACATCCAGCGCTTAAGCGATTCGGTCTGTCGCAAAGCCCAGCTGCTTAAAGTTGCCCGGTTGGTTTTTGGGTAGCGCTTCCATCTCCTCCATTAGCTTCTGAGCAAGCAGGCCYCAGTACTCACTGTTAATGCTGTGGTTTAATTCGTTTCATTTCTTTGCTTTCTGCTCTGTAGTGTGCTGGGGTTTGTTTTTGCAGAGTGTTTTGTTGCTAGGGCGGTTGTGGTCTGGTGCGAGGCTGAAATACATTTGCAGCTAGTCCCTCTAGCTAAATTAATACTGATAGGAGAAGAAAAACTGGGTGTGTTATTTCCTCAGCAGAAATATTTCTGAACTGATGCAGCATTTGCCAAACTGAAACTAAAACTGACCCGAGTGTGAATTAKAGGCTAAACCCCCCTGCAAACATTGGCTTTTTGAGGAAAGCTGCACCCTGCAAAGCAGGGGACAAGAAGGAAGGTTTGGATCCTACTGGGATTCAGAAAGTAGGTCAGTGTTTTTCAAGCATCTGCTGGTGTCTTTGGCCTAAGGAGTCAGCAGCATCTCACAGCTCTGCAATACGGTGTCAGATAAAACACTGCTGGTGCTGACAGGGCCAGAGCAGTTGGGAGTAACCCTGTTGGACATGAAGGAGGCCGGCACTTGCAGTCCCTTCCAAATGCACTTGGATTAAGTAACGTTCTTGCTTCATGGAAGCAGAAGGCCTTAACAGAAGAAAGTTAGAGCAGGAGTTACAGCTTGCTCGCAGGTGACGTGTGACTCTCGGGTGCCACGAGCCCAGCTTTGAAGGGGATGTGCTCCGGCTGGGCTGAGCTGGGGGACCACAGAGGGTGAGACTAGATTTATTACCTTGTGCTTCAATGCAGGAGACCTCMATGACTTCACATTGCCCCCAGAGATACTGGGCTTGGCAGGGCTCCTGCATCCGCAGTCCCTCCCTGTTGAGCTATCCTGTTGTTAGACTTTGCTCCCACCCTAGCCGAGCTCTTCCCAGCACAAGCCACAGGGTGAAAGGAAAAAGCCCTGGGATAGGGCGGGGCGGGGGGGGGGACACTGTTTGAGATCTATAATGTGTGGCCAAGGTGAATAAATTCGGTGCTGTCTTTCTTCTGCAATTTATAAAAGATTCATGACTAGCACGCAGACTGAAAAAAGCGCTCCCTGTGTTGTCTCTTTCGGTTTAGTTACCTCAATGACTTGGATAGAATATCCCAGCCGACCTATATTCCGACTCAGCAGGATGTGCTGCGCACCAGAGTCAAGACGACGGGCATCGTGGAGACTCACTTCACCTTCAAGGACCTGTACTTCAAGTAAGCGAAGGGCACTGCTCGTCCCGAGGGACTGCAGCACTTTCTTCAGTGCTTGGGGGCGGTGGGTTGCCCCCCTGCACTGCAAAACCCCTCCTTTGAACCATCCTTAAACTCCCTCTGCGGCAGCATCGCTCTCTGCGGGTACCACTTTGACGTTTATTTGCCTTCTTCTGTTCTTTTCAGCTGCTTTTATGTCGGGATCACGCACACAGGTACTTGACTGCTTGTTTCCCGGAGCCAAACCCTACTAAAAGGACACTGGCTGGCTTTGGAGTTTGGGATTTAACCCCTTCCTTTGCCGTGGAGGACAGAGCCCTGCCTGAGATGTGCAGGAGGGAGCGAGGGCCCTTGTGTGACGCTGCAGAGCCTGGGACTTGGCCGTCCTCCCTCTCCGCATGCAAATCCCAGCCCTAAAGGGCTTGGGGATTAAGCCTGGCCTTGGCAGTGTCCCTTAAGTATCACTAATGGAGCTCCCTCTAACTCACATAGCAGCTGCTAGCGCCTAGTTCAGCTCTCTCCTCCCTYGATCCGCTCCTTAGCAAACCCTCGCTCCGGATCCCGAGCGCTGCCCGCGTAGAGCCACGAGCCCTCTTTGCTGGGCACTAGTGTTGCCGAGTGGAGGTAGGAAAACGCAGTGTCTGTGTCCTGGGCCAGTTCCCCATCCCTATAGCGATGTTGCCAAATCCTTCTTGCTCAAGGCCTTTAAATAAGCATTTGTTTACTTATTTCCAGTTTGCGTTGGACAACGGTTTGAAACAGATTTTGCTCTGGCAAAATTCTGTTTCCTTTCAGCAAAATCTGAGTGTTGCTTATCAAACCTGATCTGTTTGCACGCTTCTGGGGGAGAATGATAGYGTTTGGGGTTCTGATCTGTAACTTGTGACTCACTTACCCAAACACGCTGAAGTGCTTTGCATCAAGGGCTGTTTATGTAGTGGCTGGTTAGTCTGGGAGAAACCTGTCTTCCATCCTGATGTACCGGGATTAGTGTTTCCAGCTGCAGTGGTGCTTGGAAGGCATCGTGTCTGACAAATGGAAGAGTGAGCTGGAGGTAACGGCTGTCCTCTGTTTAATCACCCTTAACCCTCCRTTTAAAGTGAAGTGATTGAATCCTAGGCCTGCCCCCATCGCAAATGGAGAATTTCCCTTTCCTGAGGGTGCCTGGAGGAGCTCAGGGAGGAATTGAGCTTGGGGCACAGGCCTCTCATCTCGGAGCGATTTGCCCCGCGGAGGAAAGCACTCATGTGTCTGAAGCCCTGAAGCTGCTGGCTGTCCTGCAGCAAAAGCCTTGATGTTGGATCCCAGGCATTAATAACAGGCTAAGGTAGTCCTAGTACCGCTGTGACTCGCATCTGGATTAGCTCAGGGAAGCAGACTTGTCAGGGATGCTGTTTCTTTCCAGATGTCTCCACTCTAACAGTGGAGGAAAATGGCAAATAACACAAGGGAAGTAAATAGTCTGTAGCTTCATATAGGTTTTCCTCTTTCCTGTTGCAGTCTCTTGGGATGGTTTATCTTGCACCGAAGGTTGGAGTTAGCTGAGCTGCCCTCCTGGCTCCCTCGTTAGAGATTATTAAATTATATTGCTTGTGACCACGCTGGGAAGTTTCTCTCTTGTCCATCTGCTTTGATAACAAATTGATGTTGATGTTTTTCCCAGCTCCTGGACATTGACTTGTATTCGACTTAATTTAATCAAGTCACAGCCCATCAGAACCTAGGCAGGAATAGTGCTGCTCCTCCTCCAAGTACTTCAGCTGCAACTCTCCAAGAAACTTGCTTTAGTTTGGGCAAGTGGGGGCAGAAATGCAAGTTTTCTAATTCCTTCTGAAGTCTTTACACTCTCCTTTTTAATACATAACTGTTGCTTAACCTTGTCGTTTTTTCTCTGGGTCCTAATAGTACCATGCAGGTAGCGTGTTCCAGATAATCCCATGGCAGGCACAGATTTCATTACTTGCAAGAGCTGCTGATGAGTAGGTGCTTGGAGTCCAGTCAAGCAAATAGATTGTTGCTAAGGAAATAGGAGCCTGGGAAGGAAGGAGAAGTGCCCGAGGGAATCAGCAGCCTTCTGGATAGCGACACACATGAACCTCTAGTTCTGCCTGCTGAAATAGTTTAAAAAAGAAATAAAAAAGATTTAAAATATATTATAAATATCTACTGAGTCCTCGTGACGTATGCCAAACTTGAATTTGAGTTTTTGGCCTTGCTGCTGGAAGTTGTGTATCTGCCTTTGCCTCTCCATTGCTGGACCCCATCCCACGTGAGGCCTGGTAGCACAAGGTGGGTGTCGGGGGGTCTCCAAAGCCTCTGAGATGGTTCCTCCGCCTCTCCTAGGATGTTTGATGTCGGTGGCCAGCGCTCGGAGAGGAAGAAGTGGATCCACTGCTTCGAAGGGGTGACAGCCATCATCTTCTGCGTGGCCCTCAGCGACTACGACCTCGTGCTGGCCGAGGACGAGGAGATGGTAGGTGCCTGAGGAGCTACTGCTGCCTGGCCACGGGGTGCTCAGGACACACAAGGTGGGAGCCAACCCAGCTCCTGGGTGGCTCTTTTAGCCACCCAGGCAAGACAGAGATGTGACCCCCACCAAGGAGACGGTGGAGTCGATGTCTCCTGGTGGGGCTCTGCTGTCTCCTTGGTGGGGGCTGTGTCTCTGTCTTGCTCTGTTTGCTTGGCTGCTTCTCTTGAAAGCTGCTGCAGGGCAACTGTTTTGCTAAGTGCCCTGGCAGGAGCGCTGTAAAGGTGAGTGCTGCCTTGCAGCAGCCTGCAGCGTCTTGCCCCAGAAACTGCTGCGTGTAGAAACCTCAGCTCAGGGCCACCTTCTTCCTCGTGAAGTTACCGCAGCGATGGCTGGTGCTGGTGTTTCAGCAGTGACGCTTGAGACTTTAGTCTTTTGTAATAAAAAATAAAAGCGAGGTTTCCACCTACCCCATCCTCCCCTGACTCCAGAACGATGCAGCTCTGTCTTCCTTTCGCTTTTTAGAACCGGATGCACGAGAGCATGAAGCTCTTTGACAGCATTTGTAACAACAAATGGTTTACGGACACGTCCATCATTCTCTTCTTGAACAAGAAGGACCTCTTTGAAGAAAAGATTAAGAAAAGCCCACTAACGATCTGCTATCCAGAGTACACAGGTAAGGCTGGGCTGGTGGAACTGGGTGGGTTTTTGTGTCACCAGGACCAGAAATGAGTCAGTTAAAGCCTGCATGATACAAGATAACCTAAAAGCTTCTCTTCCTGCTGATTTCCTTTAATTTGGTTTGTTTTGGGGCTGTCCAATTAGCTGATAGAGCCGTTTCTGAGGAGGGATGTGCTTTTGTGTGTCTGTTATCCGGAACAGCATTTGTTGCTGTGCTTTGTGGCCTGGAATATGGATAGCACAGACATTTCATGGCATTGCACTTAGGCAAGTCGAGATCACTCTGATTTCTACATCTTATTAGGGCAGTGTTTAATTAAACTTGATTTTAGGTTCTTTTCTAAATTCTTCTAATGTGAACTGCAGGTTTTTAGCTTGAAGCATTGTTGTTGCTAATATATAACTTTCCCACTATACAGGATCCCACTTTTAGATTCCCTTTTAGATATTTAGATAGAAATTTAGATAGATATTCCCTTTTAGATCTCCCAGGTGTTTTCCAAAATGGTGCTTCCCATCTCCAGGCAGGGAGGCTGCAGTGGGAAGAAGTCCGTGCGTTGCTGTAGTGAATGACTTGTCCAAGGTCACCGCCCAGGCCGGAAGCTGGGAATAGAATTCAGATTTACAAGAAAGGGTTAACGGTGGATTTGGATTTGTAGCTGGATAAGGCAGATGGTTGCAAGCGGCTTAATACGTGCTTAAAAGATCTGTGTCAAAACTCTCCGCTGCGAGCTGCTGGCCCAAGTAAGGGATCTAATCTTTTCCAGGCTCCAACACGTACGAGGAAGCAGCTGCGTACATCCAATGTCAGTTTGAAGACCTGAACCGGAGGAAAGACACCAAGGAGATCTACACGCACTTCACCTGCGCCACCGACACCAAGAACGTGCAGTTCGTGTTCGACGCCGTCACCGATGTCATCATTAAGAACAACCTGAAGGAGTGCGGGCTCTACTGAGGAGCGCTGGGGGAAGGAGGTAAAAGGGAGCTGCTCGGCTGCTCCCACGAGCACGTGGAGCTGCCGGTGCCTCCCTAACGCTCGCTGTTCTCGTTGCAGCTTTGACGCCGGGGCGTTTGGAGAAGCGGGCTCCGCTGCCTCGTGGGGACGGCCACAAGCACGAGGAGCAGCCGGGGGACGCAAGCAGCATGCGGAATCGTTGCATTCTTTAGCACAATCTTCTGTAGTAGGGACCTTTTTTAAATTGATACGGGATGTTGAAGCTAGATGGAAGTGGAACGACTGTTAGTGTGACTAGATCATCCAGGCGTCGCTTGGATGGCGTTGCTCTCAAATGTGTACAGCTGTTGTGAAGTTGAGGTGCTGGATTCCAGGCCTTCAATATGTAGCTTTCTCTCTTTCCTTTGGTTAACAAGCCACCACTAGTCTGTTTTTAAGGGTTTTATTTTTTTTTCCCCCATCAAGAAAACTATAACTTTACTAAATTTTATTTCTTTGCAAACAAATCTTGTTTTAAAAATAAAACTAAAAAAAAAACAAAAAAAATCACTTAACTATGCACATGTGACCAGATCATGCAGAAAGTATTCCTCTTAGAAGGAACTCTTTGTTTTTAACACTTGGTATGGTCAGAATTTAATATTTCTGCAACTACTTAATGGATCCTTAGAGCTCTTACAGTGATAGCTTCGGCTTTTTCTGATGTCTAATTCGTTACCATCCTGCTACAAATACCATGAGGCTTCTGAAAGAAGCTTCTGTAGAAGGATTTAAAAAATGTCTTTCGAGCTTGTAGTTGGGGGCAGATGTGGTTTATGCTGATGCTGAAATTGGGATTTATCCTGGCGTGGTAGGTGGAAAACCAGCTTCTTGGGGAATGTGTACCTGGGCTGCGGAGGTGGAACACGGGGCTGCAAACTGGATGGGAAGTCAATGCTGCTACAGAGCTACTAACTCGGCCACTTGGATTCTCCTGCGTGTTTTTTTTTTTTTTTTTTTTGTCTAAAGCAGTGGGCAATTTTGTAAAGGATGCACCTCGTTCTGCATTTACCACGGCCTTTTCTGTTCAGAGACTTGGAAACTGTATTGACCGCATGCCTTTACTCTGTATATGTGGTGCCAAACTCCTGTTTGCCATTGTTTTTTACTGTAGTAACGTTCTTAACCAGTCAGTCCATTCCTTTGCTGAACCGTCGCATCGAGACTCTCTTCCCACTTTGTCACGTGTACAGTTTCAATCTGTTATAGTTGTTGGCAGTATTAAAATGGTGAGGAAACAATTTAGCCTTTTCCCTRGTTTATTCTTAACTCTCCCAGAAATCTCCCCCTCTTTGGGGGGGTCTGGGTGGAGGAAAGGAGGGAGGCAGYGGGTGCTGAGTGGGTGTCAGTGAGGGGACAGGTCCCTTGTGCTTTATAATATGTTGGCACCGCGTGTGCAGCCAGTTCTGCTGCTCCCRAGGATTCGGGCAGCGCTGGCACGGATGGGAAGCTGCAGCCATCAGTCATTGTCGGGATTATTGGCAGATTTTTTAGCCTGCTGCTTTATTAATAGCACGAGTCTCATGTCATCTTTCCAGCTTGATGGAAAAATGACGGCTCTGGACTGCTGGTGCAGGATGCCAATGTAGCCTGTCTTCAGAGATGCTGAAGAAATAGAGCCCTGCCAAACTGGTGCATTTCGGGATGCATCTGATGTATGAACATCTGCCTGTCACCCGTGCACAATTGTAACAGCTCTAAGAGGGTGGATATGGCCTGGATTTCTTTGCCCAGGTTTACTTGAGTGTCCAGCAGTTCCCTCTTGGCCAGCCCTCCGTGCTCTTCAGCCACGTAGCAGCGTGTGGAAGCGCTCACCTCGTCTCTTACACCCACGCGGGGCTCGGAGCACGGATCCCYGTGTCCGTCGGCGCTTCCCAGCCGCGCTCCGCAGCCCTGCTCAAGGCAGCAGCGTTATTCCCACGGAGCTGAGATCACGCTCTGGCCGCTTTCACATGCCCAGGGCAAAGAATGCAAAATATTCCTTGATCCCAGATTTTAGACGCAAGGATTGGAAGCAATTGCAGAGAGATGGACGGGGCAGTAATGATGGACATCCAGCTCATGCATATTTCTTTATTTCCTTTTTTCTCCTACAGTTAAATGAAGCTGTATGCGCTTCTCTGCAGTAACCCCTGAGGAGAGAGAGGACTTCTTGTCTACAGCAGCAGTAAGGGTTTATTTACAAGCAGTAAAGCGCAAATACAGCTGTAAATAGCAGAGCGAGAATCTTTCCGATACCCGTTTCCTCGTTGCGTGACCCCCTTCCTTTCTCTGGGTGTGATAAATTCTCTAGCCCCTGGTTTCTGCCTGCGTCGGTGACTCGGTGCCGACGCGCCGCAGGCTCCGGAGCAGGGATCTAGCTGGGATCTGCACGGACCCYGGGAGAGATGGACTCGTCCCTCAGCTACTTAAGGCTGTTTGAGGGCTCGGGCACAGGGAGCTGTGGTTGTCAGCTTGTCTTTCCAAGGGGATTTTTTTTTTYCCTTGGAAATTTGGGGTCTTATTTACATGGGAGGGAATCTTYCCCAGAAGGACTGAGCTTGGTCAGCAGGAGTCGGCTCATCTAAGGGGGCTTCGACTCATCTAAGGGGGCTTCGTCCTAGCATCCCCCCCAAAAAAACTCCCYCTCGAGTCCAGCGGAGCCTTGATGCGATGGGAGCCACCGATGGGAGACACGGAGAGGGGACACCCATGGGAGACACCGGTGGCTGGGGGAGGGCGAGGGCAGCGTCCCCAGCGCCCGGGGGACGATCCGGCTGCTGGAGCAGGGCCTGCCTCCTCCTGGGCCTGCAGACTCCTCGGAGCCTTCCCAGAAAGGCCGGGAAATGCTGATATTTCAAGCGGAGCAGAAAGTTTTCTCGCTTTCTATCTTTTTTTTTTTTTCTTTAATAAACAGGGCCATGAAAGAGCAGGAAGTTCAGCCGCAGCCTCTTCCTGCTTCRCTCTTGCAAGTCCGTGGCTTGGTTGGGGCTGCTCTTAGACATGAGTGGGGTCCAAGAAACATTTTGTTTGGTTGKTTTTGCTTAATCCTTTTGGTTCTGCTCAGCAGAATGGTGATGCTAAATAGTGGTAGTTCTCTCTTCTAGCAGGAAGGAAGGAAGGAAGAAGAGGTGGTTAAACGGTGGCAGCCCCGCAGCTGAGGCGCTCAGCTGGTTCTTGCAGAGCTRCAAACGGAGCGGCGCAGGGCACAAAGCCCAAAGGAGGGGTGGCAGTGCCCGCACCCCACTCTGCCCGAGCTGCTCGGCCCTGCCTTGCCCCRCAACCTGCTTTTCTCCTCTCTGCTCCAAGCGGCCGCTCACCTGGCTCCTTGGGAAGGAGAACAGCGGAGCTGGGAACTGCTTTGAAAGCAGGAGGGGAAAGAAATTCCACAGTGCCCCAATGCCCCTAAAGCGCCTCGGAGACGCTGGTGCGGCGGCGCTGGGCTCCCCGCCACGTCCCCGTGCTCGGCTGTGGCTGCGCGGAGGCGGCCGCGCGAGCCCCGCGCCCGGTGTCGGGGGGCTCTGAGCCCCGGTTTCCGTCGCCCCGGCTGCCGCCAGGGGTGTGCGCGAGGCGGGGGGGGCTCGGCTCGCTGCGAAACAGCAACCGGGAGCTTGGAAGCACGGGGAGCTCCCGGGAACGTGCGGAGCTCCCGGGAAYGTGCGGAGCTCCCACCGGAGCAAGCGGCCGCGCGCGCCCTGCCACCCCCATTGGACACAGCCCTGGGCCCCGCATTGTGCCCGGGGGGCTCCCCAGCCCAACTGCGGAGCCAGGGCTGCCTCTGCTGCTCTGCCGCCCTCCCGTCCCCCTCTCTRAGCTCGTTTTGGGGTTAAAAGGGCTGTTTCTAACGGAAACGCAGAGGGTACCTGCTGCGTGGAGGCTCAGAAGAGACCGCAGTCCTTGAGGTTCTCTTTGATGATGACGTCTGTGACGGCGTCGAAGACGAACTTGACGTTCTGCGTGTCTGTGGCACAGGTCATGTGGCTGTAGATTTCCTTGACGTCTTTCCGCATGTTCAGGTCCAGGAACTGGGTCTTGATGTAGTTTCCCGCGTCTTCGAACGTGTTGGGACCTGGGGCGGGTGCAAAGGAGCGGGCTGAGACACCGCTCGGGATCCCCCTGTGCGCACACTGTCCCCCSTGGCGTCCCCCAGCCCCTCTCCCCGCTTGCTTTTGCACGTTAAATCTCTGAAATCTTCCTCCTCGGAGGAAGAGGAAGGCTGAGGCTGGTAGCCTTCCTGGAGCCCTCTGCTCCGCAGCAGGGAAAACCGGGGGGAACAAAGCGYCTCACCGTCGTATTCGGGGAAGCAGATGCTAAGGTGGACTTTCTTGATCTTCTCCTCGAAAAGGTCCTTCTTGTTGAGGAAGAGGATGATGGAGGTGGCGGCGAAGAACTTGTGGTTGCATATGCTGTTGAAGAGGTGCAGGGACTCGTGCATGCGGTTCTGCAAGCAAACGCACGCGTCGGGGCGGCTCTCGTCCCCGCGGCGCCGCRGGGCGCGCGCCCGGCCCCGACACCTACCACTTCGTCGTCCTCCACCAGCACCATGTCGTAGGCGCTCAGCGCCCCGCAGAAGATGATGCAGGTGACCCCCTCGAAGCAGTGGATCCACTTCTTGCGCTCCGAGCGCTGCCCGCCCACGTCGAACATCCTGCGGAGGGGCCAGGGCAGTGACGCGGCTGGTGCCACCGTCCCCCTGRCCACGCTTGGGTCGGGTAGACAGAGCGAGGGCTCATCCCTGACATGGGGGTGACGACTGGTGGTCCCAAAACATCACGGGCAATTTGCTCCATTCATCCCTAAGCCCATGTTGGGGGGTCTCTTGGTGCAGGAGACSCATCCTGGAGCTCCTGCAGGGTCTCCCCTGGGCTCTGGCCCCTCCGTCTCCAAAGGAGGGAGGCGAGGAGGGCCCGGGCTCTTCCACGCGCCCGGTGACGCGGGGCTTCCTCACCCGCTGCGACCCCCACGCCCCTCCCCTGGCCCACCTGAAGTTGAGGTCCTTGACGGAGAACTTGGTCTCGATGATGCCCGTGGTCTTCACGCGGGACCGCAGCACGTCCTGCTCATTGGGGAGGTAGTCGGGGGCCGTGATCCTGTCCAGCTGGTTCAGGTAGCTGGGGACAAGGGGGTGGGAGGTGACGTGGTGGCCGCGGTGGCGGCGCCGGGGCCGCGCGCGGGCGCCCGCACTCACTAGGCRGCCGAGTCGTTGAGCTGGTACTCGGCGGCGCGCTCGAAGCAGGCCTGCACGCCGCCGTCCTTCCACAGCTTCTTGATGCAGTCCACGAGCTCGGGCGGCATCGTGCCCTCCTCGATGGAGTCGGCCAGGTTGAAGAGCTGCCGCCCGTCGTCCTGCGGGGCAGAGCGCGGCCGCTGCGGGCACCCGGGCGCTGCTCCCCGCGGGGACCCGGGCACGGGAGCCAAGCCACGGCGCCCGCGCGGAGCTTCCTCTGCCTTGGGGCAGGGCTCCTCTTGGGATGGGGCAGGGCGAAGCCGCCGCGGTGCCAGCCCTGCTCTGGGTGGCCTGGGGCCCCCGGGTGGCCCTGGTGTCCCCCCCGAGCCTGGGCAGGGTGGCTTTGCTCAGGGCCGGGGCGCTGCGGCGCGGTGGCACTACTGACCCCTCGCCCCGCCTCGGCGTAGTCGATGCCCAGCGTGGACATGGCGCGGATGATGGCCAGGATGGACTGCAGGATRTTGCCGTAGATGACGGCCTTGAACTCCATGCACTCCTCCTTGGTGTAGCCGTCCTGGTGGATGATCCTGGCGGGCGGCAGCGCGGCGCTCAGCCCCGCGGCACCCCCTTGGGAGGGGCAGAGGGGCGCCCAGCGCCCCCAGCGCCCCGCTGGGCGCGGGGCTCCTACTCACTTCATCTGCTTCACGATGGTGCTCTTGCCCGACTCGCCGGCTCCTGCGGAAGGGAGCRGAGCTCAGCCCCGACGCCGCGGTGATGGGCACCGCGCGGGCCCCGGGGCTGCTTTCCAACCCCTCCATGCCGTTTGTCCCGGGCCCCCCACCGCAGACACGGCTCTGCACGTGGCGGGGCACCCGGGGGGTCGCGGGACCCCGTCCCGGGGGGCTCCCGCCCGCCGCAGGCACCGGTGGCCCTCGCGCGGGCGCCCTAAGCGGCTTAGGGCACCACAGGAAGCCGCTTAGAATTAGGGGCTAATCGCCTTGATCCCGCGGCCCTGCCGTCACCTGGATAAGCCCCCGCGCGGCCGCCCCCCCGGGCGCCGCTCCCRCCTCCGCCGCTCCRGCCGCGGTGGCCCGGGAACGGGCACCCTGGTCCCCACGCGATGTCCCCGGCCGGGGGGTGACCACAGCGTCGCCTCGATGCCCGCAGGTGGCACCCAGGGGTCCCTCCCTTGCAGCTGCTCCAACGCCCAGTGTCCATGGCCCGGGTGGGACAACGCGGCAACCAGCTAGTGGGAGCTCGTGTGGCCAACGGGAGCTGCGGGCTGTGGCCGCAAGGGGCTCGGGAAGGGCCCAGGCTGGGCCGGAGGAGCTGTCCCTGTGTCCCCGTGTCCCTGTGTCCCCGTGTCCCTGTGTCCCCGTGTCCCTGGGTCCCCGTGTCCCTGGGGCCCCGTGTCCCTGGGGCCCCATGTCCCTGGGGCCCCATGTCCCCATCCCCTCTCCCCATCCGCTCAACTTGCTTCTCTCCAACAGCTCCATCCACCTGGTGTCCCCAAAGGTCCCTGGTGCTGAGCAGGACCCCGCTGTCCCCCTGCCGTCCCCTCGCTGCCCCCTTACCCAGCAGCAGCAGCTTGACCGTCTTCGCCTCCTTGTCCGCGTCCTCCTGGAGCTTCTTCTCCAGCTCCTTGGACCTCTTGGCCATCTCCTTGTCCTCGGCACTGGCCCCGCTGCCCATGGCCTCGTTGTCAGTGCCCAACTCCTCAAGGAGCTCCTCTAGGTCCCCGGGCTCTTCCAGCTCTTCGCGGGGTGGGTGTGGGGCAGCCGAGGGGACCCCAAACAGCCGAGGTGGGTGCTGGACACAGGGTCCCGAGGGGCTGCCCTGGGTGCGCGCTGGCCGCCTGCCCCCGCGCTCTCCTCTGCCTTCGTTGCCTGGGGGCAACTAACCCAATTTCTGGGGCGCCCGGGGGCTCGGGGGCTTTTTATGCCGCCACGTGATGCCGGGGGCGAATCCAATTAGCGCAGCCCAAGATGGCAAAGATTAGAGCTTGGAAAAGCCATGGGCGAGGCCGGGGCATTACGTAAGGGGCCGCGGCACCCATGGGTGCTGCTGGCTCCTTAAGGGGAACCGGGGTGGATCCCTTGCACCTGGGACCCCGCTCCGCCCTGCAGGCCAGCACCCAAGGGGGCTCTGACCTCGGAGTCATCACTGGGGACCTTGTTGTCCCCTCTGTGGCTGCCCCCCTTCCTCCTGGGTCGCATCTTGCTGTCCCCTAATTACTGCAGGATGATGACACCCCCCCGGGGCTGCCGGCCCCTCACCCTCCGTGTGGCAGCTCAGCCTTCCTCCTCCTCCTCCTCCTCCCGCTCCTCCCCCTCCTCCCCGGTTCAGCACCACCTCGCACCGCTGTCCCCAGTGTCCCAGCCTGGGACACCTGCACCCCCCGGCAGGACTGGTTTTTCACGGCCTGTCACCATTTTCCCCATTATTTGCCCCATCTCCCACCCGTTTGTGTCCCGCCCCACTCCAGTGCTCTTCCTCCCGGGTGCCTCGCTGCCACCGGCCGCCCGGGGACATCGCGTCCCCGCTGTCCCGGCAGACAAAGCCCCTTCAGAGCCGCTAATGAACTTGGCACTAGCGAAAGGGGTCTAATTAACCCCCCCGGCGTCACAGGGGGGAGCACGAGGGGGACACTCAGATGAGAGCCCCTCGTCCCCATTGTCCCCCCACCTCTGGTGGCCCTTGGTCCCACCTGCCCGGCCCTGGGTGGGGGGGGTCTCGGGGAAGGTGTCACCCCCTTGTCCCCTCCTCTCCCGCCGTTCGGTGGCCCCAGGAGCGGGGAGGGGACGCAGGCGGCTGGGAGGGGGCCACAGAAGTGGCAGCGTCCCCCGCGCGCGCCGGACCCCCCCGCCTGGCGCCGAGGCCACCTAAAAATACTCCCTCCTGCAGCGCCCGATCGGGCCACTCGGCCGGGCGGCGGCTGGGGACACATCGCGGGCCCCGCGGCCACACCAGCGTGTCCCCCCCGGCACCTTCTGCCACCAGCGGGCCAGGTTCGGAGGGGCCGCGCGGGGCGGGGGGCGGCGACAGCGGCGCCTCAGGCGGGGGATGCGGCGGGGACGTGTCGGGGTCCCCGCGTCCCCTCGCCGGCTCCGGGCTCGCGGCGGGGGGGCGATGCCGGGACGGGAGGTCCCCTCTGCTGGGGGGGACACGGCAGCCGCCTCGGCGGGGGGCACGTTTCATTTTGGGTAGCGGCGAAGAGGCAGCGCCGCCCCTCTTGGGGACCCGTCTTGGGGACACTGCTGTCCCCGAGGGTCCCCGTGCGGAGCGGGGGGGCTCCGTGCCCGTTCCGCGGCGGGGGGCGGGGGGAAGAGAGGCGGGCGCTGCAGCAGGGCCCGGTTGCCCCGACAACCTTCCTCCTCCTCCTCCTCCTCCTCCTCCTCCTCCTCGTCGCCACCGCCGCCGTCACCCACATCCTCCTCCCGCCCCATCCTCTTCCTCGGCGCCGCTTCCGGCCGGCCCCCGCGGGGACTTTGGTCCAGCCCCGGGGCCGCCGCTGCAATCAGCGGCCGGGGGCGGGAGCGCGGCGGCCGCCGCCC